ATTACGAATCAGATTACCATAAAATGCCTTTCCATTTGTCCTTCCTTCTATAATAGAATGCGCCATCTGAAATGTCACTGAATGACCAGTACTGAGTAAAACAGGACTGATCACCTTCATTTCCAGATACTATACTTCTAATGTCTGCATTAAACCTAAAGAGGTTATATCAAACCTCTAATTCTTACTGGGCTATTAACTAAAACCCTTAAGTTTGTCTAAACACAGTTTTTAAGTCACTACTGCCTCATCCTTTACTTGATAGCTGGTTTTCTATATCTAAGTACTTACCTTTATTCCTGTTATGTTTCATCTTGTTAGATTCCTTATTCTCGAGATTGTTTTGGATCTCAATTATAACTCTCAGCCTATCTGCTTATACTCTCAACTCTGTCACACTCACCTATATTGAGTGTTCCCATTATATTATCACTGATAGAAAATATGAACAGAGTAAGGCATGAAGAGTCCTGCAGTAGATCAGAAATCTCCCCAAAGTTCAGTGATTCTTGAATTTCAATGTGTAGGGAGACATTAAGCATATCTCATCCCATCTCTAGAGATTCTGATTCAAGAAGTCCAAGAAAAGGGCCTTCCCCCAAGTAAGTTTCAAGTGATTAATCTGCAGAGCACATGTGGAAAAACACTGTTCAGTTTGATATCAGGTATCAATCAGGCTCCTTTTTGGTATGGCCAATCAGGGACAAGCCATCCAATTTTCTTCACACTCTTCTCATGTGTTTTTTTTAAAGATTTATTCATGCATACAGAACTGGGGTACAGGCCAGATGCGCGGGAGGGTGAGAGGATTCACCAGAGACAGAGCCGGGAACAGAACAGGCAGATGGACCGAAAACACTGCTTAGGGGAGCAGCAGGCGAGACCGGAGGTCTGCCACGCCATGTGGGATTCTTGCCTGCCGGCCGGGCTAGAACCAACCACTGCACAGGCTATGGACAGCTTCACAGAGCTGTGCTCAACTCACTGTGCCAGGGCGGAGGCCCTCTTCTCATGTTTTCCTGCCACCTTCAGGAAGTTATCATGAGAAGAAACCTGGTCAAAATATTAGTCACAATAGGGTCTCCCCTGTTGGCGCAGGTGGTTGTTGTATAAATAAATAAATCTAAAAAAAATATTAGTCACAATAACCATACTCTATTTCCCTGCTCTACCAGTCCTGCTAGCCTAGAAAAGGAAGAAATGATGCATGCTTTGTTCTTAGGAAACGTGTTCATTGTGTGAACAACAACATCTTTTTTATCTTCAGTGCCCACATTTTACTTCCCTAGTTCCCCATCTAGAATTGTGCCAGAGTTTTAGGGTCAAGTTCACCAGCTGAACTTTAACAAAACTAATTTTCTTCACTTTGGAAATTGGAACCACCCTTATTTAATCTCAAATCATTCAGAAAATCTACTGTCTTTTAAAAGTAAAGATCGCAGACAACTGTAACTCCTTTCTGAATCTATCATGGAATGTATTTCATGCAGATCCAAACACTGTACACCTTAGAGACGCCCCATCATGAGGTGCTTTATTCTCCATTACTACTACCCAGTATACCCTTTTCAGTTTGAAGGTCACTTTCCTTGACATAAAGGACAGAAGCAATTTTTTCAGAATTCAGCTTTCTCTATATCATTTAACAGCAGTATATTTTAAATTCCATATAGCAGATTTAGCTCCTTTATCATCTTTTTTTTTTTGCTCTAAATATAACTTTAAGTACCCCGATTCTTCCTTAGAAATTCTTGCAAGTCTGGTGCAGCAGACCTCTCCTGACTTGCCTGCAGCTCCCCAGCAGTGTACTTCCGTCAATCTGCCTGTTCTGTTCCCCACTCTGTCTCTAGTGAATCCTCTCACCTACCCCCGCAACACCTCTGGCCTTTACCCCAGCTCTTGCATGCATAAATAAATAAATCTTACAAAAAAAAAAAAGAAATTCTTGCAAGTCTGTACTCATTAGAAATTTTATTTTCTAATTGTTATCCTTACAAATGCAAGCTTGCTTTTTATATTTGCACTAATCTAACTTTACCTTTCATATAATTTTTTTTAAGATTTATTTATTTATTTATACAAGCCCTGGGTACAGTGAGGAGCGCGGGAGGGTGAGAGAATTCACCAGAGCCAGAGCTGAGAGCAGAACAGGCAGAAGGATCGAAATACACTGCTGAGGGGAGCAGCGGGCGGCAGGAGAGGTCTGCGCGCCATGTCGGACCCTCTCCAGCGGCTGGGGATGGAACCGGCAGTGCAGAGGCTGCGGGCAGCTTCGCAGCCCAGCGCTCAACCACTGCGCCACCAGGGGAGGCCCTCATATGTTTTTTTTTTTTGAAACTGAGCTTCAACTAGCAAAAAAAACAAAATTGATAACGGTTGGAGTTGAGTGAAATGCATAGAGCTTCACTGGGCAAGTCTTACCACTGTCTATAAAATACTATTTACTACAAAATAAAAAGTCAAGTAAATATATGCAGATATTAACATTTATATAAATATGGAGAAAGACAGCATTCCAATATCATATTCATTAGAATATATTCTTTTCAGACTTTCTTTTATTGGTCGGGATGATTTGATTTGAATTAAAATCTAAATTACACATTCTCTGAGCCTCCCAGTCCTTTTATCTTCCAGCCCAGATTCCAAAAGTTACCTATTTTTCATTTAGGACCAACTTTAAAAAGATTTTCAAATTGTCAATTGTTCTCCCATTATCTGATGGGACATTATGCTTCAAAGTGTGGTCCTTACACCAGCAGCACTAACATCACCAATGCAAATTCATGGATCTCACCCACCTACTGTATCAGAATCCCTGTGGATGGGGCCTGGGAAATTCTCCAAGTAAGTCCTATGCATATTTAAGAATAACTATTAAGAAATTGTTCCACTCCAAAAAGTTTTAATTGAGATATGTAACAAATAAGTTAATGAGCTTGAAAGGCAATTTATATTATCTGGCCTAAATAACATATCTCAACTACAAAGAAGTCATAAAAGACGGCAATAAAATAAAAACTCACAATGAAACAAAATCACAAAGTGACCCATATATAATTGCTAAAAAATCTGCATTGTGAAAATATACACTGCATATAAACTACAAACCTCTTGAGTAATTATTAGCCTTAAAAGAATTAGTAAAAGCATATTACTCATTAATAATAAGGAAAACAGGGCCTCCTTTCGTGGTGCAGTGGTTGAGCACTGGGCTGCGAAGCTGCCAGCAGCCTCTGCAGTGCCGGTTCGATCCCCGGCCGCCAGCGAGGGTCCCACATGGTACGCAGACCTCTCCTGCCACGCCCACTGCTCCCCTCAGCAGTGTATTTTGTCGGTCTGCCTGTTCCGTTCCCCGCTCTGGCTCTGGTGAATTCTCTCACCCTCCTGTGCTTCTGACTGTACCCAGTGCTTGTATAAATAAATCTTTAATAAAAAATAATAATAATAAGGAAAACAATGAGTCACCTGACACACTACACTGTGGAAATTTATTAATTCCCTAATAATTGGCATAGTAGCATATTTCTTCTAGAAAGTCTAGGAGTAAAAATCAATTATAGGGCCTCCCTGGTGGAGCAAGGGGTTAAGCACCACACTATAAAGCAATCACAGGCCTGCAGCACAAGTTCAATCCCCAGCCCCATAGGCTGTGTCCTAACCCCTTGTGCCACCAGGGAGGCCCTGAACATACTTACTCCTATTTTTGCTACTCAAACACTGCAACTTTTGTGAGTCACTTAGCTTTTGCAAGTTTCTCTCTACTAAAATTGGATAACCTATTCGTGAGAAGTGCTTGAATGATTAATTAGAAAATGACTTGAAGTATTTATGAATATATACTCAGTATATCATTATTAACCCCTTTATTCTTTCATTCACTCATTTTGTCATCACCAGACATACTACTTAAAATCATTCTATTCTTTTTTACTTCCTAGCTCTTTTCTACCACTTTATCCAGCTCAATCTTTCTTAAATTGACTTTAAGCTTTTTGGGGCTAACAAACATCTCACCCAAAGAAAGTGATGGTACCAAATGTAATATTCTGGTGATAATTTGGGATTCTTGGGGAACAGACACCTTAAATATATAAATGGATATGTTTAGCACTCATAACTATAATTTGAGATTACATAGGTCATTATTCCTATACTTCATGTAACAATATTAACAAAAACTGTATGTTTTCATGTCAGTTTTCACACACAAGAATTTTACAGTAATGACTATTATTTTTTTTTTTCACTTAAGAAAGAAGTTAAAATAAACATGAGAGATTATACTCTTTTTCTACTGACTAGAAATGCCACCTTTTTATATTTTACTCCAGCATATAAGGTTCATCATAGTTTAAATGATACTATCCTAGGGCCTCCCCAGTGGCGCAGCGGTTGAGCGCTGGGTTGCGAAGCTGCCCACAGCCTCTGCAGCGCCGGTTCGATCCCCGGCTGCTCCCCAGCCACCGGAGGAGGGTCCCACATGGCGCGCAGACCTCTCCTGCCGCCCGCTGCGCCCCTCAGCAGTGTACTTCGGTCCTGCCTGCTCTGCTACCCCCTCTGGCTCTGGTGAATTCTCTCACCCTCTCGCGCTTCTGACTGTACCCAGTGCTTGTAAAAATAAATAAATAAATGAATGAATGAATAAATAAATAAATAAATCTTAAGAAAAAAAAAGATACTATCCTATGACCATTATATGAGATCTATTTCTCTGATGAACATGTCTTCCACAGAGCTAATGCCAAACCAAAGCCTGCAACTGAACATGAACCTTCTGAAAGATGGCAGTCCTGTGATGAATAAATTAACTTGAGCCAATATTTTCTATTTTCATCCATTCACTCAACATTATTAAGCAGCTGTAAGTTGTTTTCAATTATTAAGTATATAAAATGTACAAAATGTAATAAAGTAAGGAATATTTCTACAGCTCCATTTTTTTTGAGAAATTCCTGTATACATTTCACATACAGTTTTATATGTATAAATGATCTTACCTCTCTTACAGATAGCTGTGGTGGAAAGGAGACTGAAAATACCAAGTTGGTGAATTCAAACCCAGAAGCCTCAACCTTTTGACACACCTAAAAAAGTATTACAATTACATAAATTCCCAAAAATTTTATAATCTTCATAACATGAATTTTGGATCTAGGAGATGATACTGCAACACTCTTAGACTTTCATCTTTGAGTAGAGAATTCTCAAAAACATCCTGATCAAACATTTGCTACCCATGACCCTGAAGACCAATAACACAAAAGTCACACCATACAGGGCTCACTTGCAGAACTATCTGTCAAATGTCAAAATTGTTTTCTAGCTTACTTTATAATTTTAAACAGATTTTAAACAAAATAAAGCCAAAATTGACACTCTTGACAGCTGGAATCAAAAGGCAATCCCACATTCAATCATGTACCTTCCATAAGGCTATCATACTTGTCTTTTTGAGACACCAACAGGTATGAGTGAGAGGGAGCTTTTCTCGATCTCCTTAGTTATGTGAAACAGCAAGGGAAAAATGTCATTAGTTTTCAACTAAATAGCTCTCATCACCAAAATTCATGGATACATATTTTATTGTCAGATATCATGTTGTTAAAAGGCAATTTCAGAATAGTAGGCTTTTGTTTTAAAAAATAAGAAAATTTTAATGATCCATTGGTGTGAAACAAATTTAAGTCAGTGGCTTTCTTACTTTACATTCAAGAATTCTAGGCCTTAAGATTGAAAATTACACAATTAGAAAAAATAGATTATTTACCTTTTTAATGAATTCTTTTTCACAGAATTCTTGAAGAATTCCTAGGCATATATTGCATACATTTAAATTTGAGTTCTTGGGACCAAAGCTTCCATCTTCAATAACAGAGATCCTCCCCTCTCCATTTTGACTCAGATTACCAATCCCATCTTCTATTGCTTGTAGTCGAATTTTCTTTGGAGGTGGATTTGGAACTTCCAAAATTAATTCATCTTTTTTAGTTTCCAGAAAGTTCTGCAGTTGACTGAGCAACTCCTGGAAAGTTTAAAAAAAGTAATAACCCTTTGACAATGCCCTTAGGGGTAAAGTGAATTGTGAAAGTTATGACATCACAGATTTACAAAATGTTGATTTATATCAATTTTGAGGCAATCAACTAATTTTATTAGCCAGCACTGGCTTTCTGGAGAACTTAAAAGAGAATTAGCTACTTCCTATAACAAGTATGAATATTTTTTCAAAAGAGTTTCATATATCAGTAAAGTTTAAATCCTAAATCTGAGACAGAAGGGTTCCATTAACAAACTTGTTAATTTGTAGTTCTATTGTAAGGCTGATTCATTTGCTAGTTTCAGTTAAAAAGATAAATCCTAAATATTAACAAATAGAAATACAAACTGAATTTCCATCCTTGCTAGGCTCTCACAATCACTAAAATCTTGTATGAATAATATTTACTTAATATGAAATCTGAAAAATTAGACTCTAAGTAAAAATAATTTCAAGACAATTTACTAAGCACAAGTAAACAGGTGCTGGCAGTACTGAAATTTGGCACCATGATTACACATCATTTATATGCAGTAATTGAAATAAGCCCTCTACTACCTTCTGGTTTGCCTAATTTCTTTCACTCTTTGTATTAAAATGTAAAATGTGTTGGGCCTCCCTGGTGGCACAGAGGTTAAAGACAGCTATGGGCAACCACTGCAGCATGAGCTCAACTTCCATCCCTGGCAGGCCAGGGAGCTTCCCACAGATGCAGCAGACCTCTCCTGCCTCACCCACTGTTCCCCTCAGCAGTATTTCAGTAGATCTGCCTGTTCTGCTCCCCACTCTCTCTGGTGAATCCTCTCACCCCGCCCCCACCCCTCTGGCCTATACCCCAGTGCTTGTATGCATGAATAAATAAATCTTTAAAAAATATTAATAAAATACAAAATATGTCATTTTTATGAAACCATAGTCTCATATTTCAGACATTCCAATATTCTAAAATGCCCAGAGAATTTTTCCTCTGTTTTGTTTAGAATAGACAGATTTTTGTACTGAGTCACTGAATAAATACTCTTTTGAAATTCACTCAGATTACAATTTACTGACTCAACGGGAAAAAATTTTTTCATTCAAATAAATTTAATTCATTTTATTAAGAAATTAAATCTATTTTATCTCTACCAAAAATATATATATAATATATTCAAACAGATATATTATGACCCACACAAAGATGTTTATTATTTATTATTTATTATCTAAGATATATAACATCAGTATAACATAATACATATATAGTATATGTGTACATATATAGCTATGTGTACATATATAGTTATATGAATAGAACAGATCAAAATTATATTTACCAAAAAATTTTCACCAAATATTGTGTTTATTTACATAAAATGATACAAACAAAAGTTAGTAACACTCAGTCTCCTTATATAATATGTATTTTAAATCTTACAGTAATATCTTAGAATAAAATATTATAATGTGTGGAATAAATGTGTAAGGAGAGCTACACAAAATCAATCTTATTTTATAGTTGTAGTGTATATAAATAAATATACACATATTAATCATCATAGCATATATATCATTTCCAGTTTTCAAAGTATTTTCACATACTTTATTAGGTATTGTCCCTTAAAATTCTGTGAGATGGATGTTATCATTTCCATATATAGAAGAGAAAACTGAAGCTGGGAGGTTGTGGAACTGGAATTCAAATCCATGTCTTCTAGCTCCAAATTCTAGGCTTTGGATTCAGACAGTTCATATCCTAGCTTGCTCACTTAACAGCTGTGTAACTTTGGGCAGAAACTGTGCCTCAGTTTCTTCATCTGAAAATAGAGACAATCATAGTATGTACTTACCTAATAGATTATTATAGAATTAGATGAGAACGTGACATATAATAATGCTAAATGAATACTGGGTATAATAATTATTTCCAAAATAATAGAAACAATACATAGGGGAAAAGAAGCTATTGCTAACTCCTGAGCAATTTTTAAAAATTGTAAGGGCCTCCCCAGTGGCGCAGCGGGTTGAGCGCATCGCTGTGAAGCTGTCCTCAGCCTCTGCGGCACCAGTTCGATTCCCGGCCGGCCAGGGAGATTCCCACATGGCATGGCAGACCTCTCCTGTCATGCCCGCTGCTCCCCTCAGTAGTGTATTTCTGTCGTTCTGCCTGTTCTGCTCTGTCTCTGATGGATTCTTTTTTTTTTTTTAAAAGATTTATTTATTTATTTATACAAGCACTGGGTACAGTCAGAAGCACGGGAGGGTGAGAGAATTCACCAGAGCCAGAGCAGGGAACAGAACAGGCAGAGTGACGAAATACAATGCTGAGGGGAGCAGCCATGTGAGACCCTAGGCGGTGGCCTGGGATAGAACCAGCACTGCAGAGGCTACAGGCAGCTTTGCAGCCCAGCACTCAACCGCTGCGCCATCTGGTGAATTCTTTCACCTTCCCGTGCCTTTGGCCTGTACCCCGTGCTTGTATAAATAAACAAATCTTTAAAATAAATAAAAATAAAAATTGTAAGAAACTGATTGTGTGTATGTGTGTCTGTGTACATACTGTTTACAAATGTTAATGTAGTCGATAGGTTCTTAGAAACTGTAAGTGAAGCAACCTAAAATGCAAGCAGGTCCTCAAATAAAGTGATTTCATCCAAGTACGACAGATTTGTTTTTTCTCATCAATATTATAACAAAACAACATTGAAAGAAACTAGTCAAAGACCTAATGTAATTATATGCCTCTGACAAAAACATCACTATTAGAAGCAAATGTATTTCACCAATATATGTTACATATCTTATGGGCAAGTATTTTATTAAATGTCAAAGCTTTCTGTATATTATCATAAATGACAAAGATCTCCACATAGTAAAGATGATGAAGATAAGTACTCACTTCTAGAGGGTTCCAAATACCTATTTGTATACACAAATGGAAAAAAAAAAAAAGAGAGAAAACAGGAAGAGGAAAAAAGCCGGGTCTCCCTGGTGGCCTAGGGGTTGAGTCTCAGTGCTTTCACCACTATGAGTTCCACCCCTGGCCAGGGAGCTGACCCACATATGGTACAGCAGACCTCTTCTGACTTGCCTGCTGCTCCTCTTTGCAATGAATTTCAGTAAATCCTCCTCTTTTACTCCCCACTTTGTCTCTGGTGAATATTCTCACATCTGGCCTATATCCCAGTTCTACACATAAATAAATAAATCTTTTAAAAAGGGGAGGGGAAAGGCAACCAAACCCACAGTGTCCCCACTTAATAAAGGATCTCAGGACTATCACCTCTGCTCCTTTATAACTTACTGTATACATTAACATTATCAGTAATTTTTTATTGTAGTTTTAAAAACTTTAAAGTAATATTATGATAGATACATGCCCTCAAATAAACAGCTATTCATGTAAAAATAGAAAAATCTTCTTAACTTAAAAAAATGAAGATACCTTGTATGAAAGTTTGTAAGGTGCATGAAAATCCACACCACAGAATCTGAAGATACATCTTGGGCAGGTACCACTATTGAGCAACAACTGGGCGACATGCTTGTTTTCCTCAGTCAGTGGAAACATACTGAATTACACCTAGAAAAAAAGAAAAAAATGAAAAGCTAATGAGCATCTTTTGTGTTTCAAAAACTTTCACAGACTTTAGGGGCTAAAAACTAGCTTTTGTTTGGAAAACATTTTTTTGTACTATTCAGTATAGTCCCTTTCATTAAATGCACATTGAAACATAAATTTGAAGGAAATTTATAGGATTGAATCAGATGAAAGTCTTTGTCAAAAAATGCAGTTTAGCATTCTGCATTGTGATTAAATACCTAAAAATAACCACAACATATAAAAATAAAAGTAATGGAAAATAGTCTCAGAGGAAAGTAATGCACACGACAAATTTCACTTTTTATTTTGTACCATTCAGTATTAGTACATACTCAGATCACAGAGTAGCACAGTCAATAAATTTTTCCTTTTTGCAATTAAAAATGAGTTAGCTAGAAAAAAGGTAGATTGATCCATATTATATAATACTTGACTAACCTTAATGATAGTTAAGCAGTCAAGTATTTAACAAAAATTGATCAGTATCCAAAAACATCATTTTTATTTTGATGAAATAATAAAATGACAACCAATTACTAACAAAATGAGAATAAAAACCTGTACATTTAATACACAAGCAAAACCACCAACAAAATCAAACACAAAATACTTTATAGAGTGATTACTTATTGAAAGTAAGTTGCTACCTTCTAAGACTGAACAGGCTCACTTAAAAAAAAATACTAAAGAAAGAAGGAAAATCCAATATAAGTTTCTTGTTGCCAGGAAGGAAAATACTAATCATCTAGTTTGGCAAAAATAGAGCTTCTGATTAATGAATCAGTTCACATTATTTAAAGTGAAGAACCAGTGATATTTTATAAAATAATGATTGTATGGCAATGTTGCAGTATAAGTGTGGTTATGTAGATAAAAGACAGTGAGTGGCACATTTTAATGTGTGCAGTTTCATAAATCAAATGAATGTGTTTAAAATTTGGGGGCCACCTTGGTGGTGCAAGGGATTAAGACACAGTATTATAAAGCTATCCACAGCCACTGCAGCACAAGTTTGATCCCCAGCCAGGGAGCTATCTACATGGCACAGCAGTCCTCTCTTGTCTAGCCTGCTGCTCCCCTCAGCAGTTATTTCAGTACATCTGCCTCTTCTGCTCCCCATTCTGTCTCTGGTGAATCCTCTCACCCCCTGCACCTATGGCCTGTACCCCAGTGCTTGTATGCATAAATAAATAAATCTTTTTTAAAAATTAGGGGGAGGGTAAACTTCTTACCACCTGCTTACTATGAAGATAGGATTCTTAGAATTAGTTTGCTTTCCAACCCTTTAAAACTCACTACTTACTTGCAAGTTTCTAAATGTTTGTGACTACTAATTAAGAAGTAGATCCTTCACACAAAACAAAAATTAGGGGTCTCCCTGGTGGCACAGAAGTTGAAGTCTCAGCCCTATCAAGCTATTGCCAGTCACTGCAGCATGAGTTCAATCCCCGGCCAGGGAGCTGACCCACATGGCACAGCAAACCTCTCCTGTCTCACCCATTGCTCCCCTCAAGAGTGTGTCTTAGTAGATTCACCTGTTTTCTGGTGACCCACTCTGTCTCTGGTGAATCCTCTCACTCCCTGCCCCTCCCCCCCAGCACCTGTGGCCTAAACCCCATTTCTTGTATGCATAAATAAATAAAATAAATATTTAAAAAAAAAAAAGAGTAAGAGTCTTCATCATAAAAATCAGTTCAGCAGTCAGGACTACAAAAACTAGATTGCCTTTGGCTGGATTGACAGAGAAAGGAAGAGAAGAAAACCAGGCTTGTCCAGACACACCAGAGAGAATTTGCAGACTTGGGAGTGTTTCAGGATTGGGAAACACCAATTCACAGTTGCCTAAGTAAATTTGGGTCCCAGGGTATTTTTAAGAGATTACACAGAATATGTGGAGGACACCCTCTAAATAATGAAGCTCTGTGTCATCATTATCTCTAACTGATCTATATCCCTGGCCCCAAATTCATTTAATCTGCTAGTTAGGCACTAAATAGGGTTGGAATTCTGTGAGGGGCTAATTATCAGCAGTTCAAGTGTATCCCTGACAGCATTACCTTCATAATGAAACGGTTTCTGTTTCACCCTTTATTTATTTTATTTTTTAAAGATTTATTTATTTATGCATACAAGAACTGGGGTACAGGCCAGAGGTGTGGGGGAACAAAATAGGCGGGTTGACTGAAAATACACTGCTGAGGGGAGCAGCAGGAGAGACAGGAGAGGTCTGCTGCGCCATGTGGGTAGCTCCCTGGCCAGGAATCAAACTTCTGCTGCAGTGGCTGTGGATAACAACTTCATAGGTTGTGTCTTAACCCCTTGTGCCACCAGGGAGGCCCTCACCCTTTATTTTAAATGGTCTTTTCTCCTTTCCATTAGTTAAAGCCAATTTCATTTAATTCAGAATTAATCTTTAACTCAGAGAGAATTCTTCCTCCCCAATAAACAAACTGGTAAGTGTATAAAAAAAAGTACACTTTGTATCAAAGATTTTCTGGGGAATTTAAGTGAAATGGTTTTATTTAAATGTATGCTTCTTTCCCTTTGATTTAAAGAATGAACGTTTATTTCTCCAGTAGGTTCAACAGGATAAAGGTATCATGCAAAATCAACAATCTCTTGTCTCTAAGAAGGTCTCAAACATGTTGAGAATTAGGAAATCTCCTGTCCTAAGTAATTTGAAAGGGACTTGGAAAAAAAAATAAAGAACAAAATAAAGCCCTGTACAATGTATATGTGTTAATAATTAATGGATTTATGAAGCTGTCAAAATCATTTTCACCTAGCAACATCCTAGCAGTCTCTCAAGCACATTAACAATAAAAGACGGAACTAAATTATGCCCTAAATTTAGTTGCATCATCTTGACTTACAGCCCTCAAAGGGTGGGATTTCATAAGACATCTGAAATCAGTTGTTTCATGGGACTTATCTTTGAAAGCAAGTCCATAGTGTAAGGTTTTTGTTGGTTGCCTTTGTTAAGATTTTTGCTTTTCAGACAAAATAAAAACAAACTCTGAGATTACCATAATAAAATGGTGGTCATGGAGTGAGAGGTGGTAAACAAGTAGGGTAAAAGGGCCAGTTATATGGTGGTAGACAGAAATTAGACTTTCGGTGGGGATCATAATGTACCATATAGAGATGTCAAACTTTAACGCTGTACACAGGAAACCAACAGAATGTTACAAACCAATAGTTATTGCAGTAAAAATTTTTAAAGAGTTTTGGTTTTCATTTACATGTTTGTTTTACATAAAACTCATAAAAGATACTTTAATTCCACCTGTCGGACGATTGGATAAACAAACAGGGAAGCAGAGCATGTGGAAAAAACACCAACTGACTAGACTGAGTGTCACATCCCAGGATCGTTTAAAACTCATTTCCACCTAGCAGGGTGGCATTCCTCTACCGGGACGAGGGTGGGGTGTGGATTTCCACAGCAGGTGCTCAGAACCTCACTGAACTGCCGATACATTCAGCTGTATCTACACTAGAGTCCTGGAAGGTTCACCCCACGTCTAACCTCGAATCTCTCCTTTGGCCAAGCAAACCCTTACCTTACCTTCTTCGATCAGCTCCAAGAAACTTCTCACTCACCCTTCCTTGCTAACAAAGCCGATCCAGGAGGAAAGAAACGATCCCCTCTATCCACACCTCTCCCGCACCCCGTTCGCAAGCCTCCACTTCAGTATCCCCTGCCTCACCTTCTCCCACCAAGCCGGAGCCTGAGATTTAACCCCTTCCGGCCCTCAGAGGGGACAGGGAAGACTAAAGACTACGCACCTATTGCGTCTAGCAATTCTGTTCCCCGAGGAAACGAGAGCTTTAGAACGAAAGTACCAGCCCCTCTCAAGAGGATTAAGCGAACTCTTCCCTATTTGTAAGGAAACAGAAAAAATGCCTGGCCCGCCGCCACACACACACACACACACACACACACACACACACGCACGCACACACAGCCCTCCCCCGTGGGTTTAAGAGTGCAAGAGTGAGTGCGGCAATACTCTGGGCTGCAACTGGACGAGTCCGGGAGAAGCCTCGGAGACACTCCGACGTCTAGGACACAGTAGCCGCTGACAGAAATATCGATGAGCCCTAACCCTCAGGTTTAGAATGGAAACTCTTTTTAGGACCAACAATAACAGAGTTTCCCCTCACCTGATGGCATTTTCGGCCCTTTGGTCCCAGTAGGCAAAGCAAAAAAAGCCGCGTCCCGAGTTCAGGGGTGGGCGGGGCGGAGGCTCGGCGTTCTGCTCGTTGTGCCTGACGCGCTAGGTGCCAGTGTACCCCGGCCGCCCGAGCCCCTGCGCCGAGCGGGAGCTAAGCGGAGCCGGAGGAGATGGGGTCTCAGCCGCCGCCTCCCCCAAAACCTTGGGAGACCCGCCGAATTCCTGGGGCCGGCCCGGGGGCAGGGCCCGGCCCCGCTTTCCAGTGAGTGTGGGATTCTTCAGGCCGTGGTTTTGGTGGGCCGGAGTCGGGACTTTGCAGGAGGCGGTTGAGTCCGTTGTTGGGGTGAGGTGTCCCCTCCCCCTCTCAACGTGCCCCCCAATTTTGAGGGGCTGGAGTTGGAGTCCAGGCGCATAGGAGGGGAATTTCGTAGTCTGTCTGCTGTTTCTGACTTCGCAGCACTTGTTTGCGTCCTTTTCCGGTGAAGTCTTGACCAGCTCTTTGGATCCCAGAGCTTAGAAGAAAGGGGGCTGCTTCATGCCTCTTTGTGTTTGCGCGACACCTTGACAGAACTTCTTGACTCTATTGAAGTATTAGACTTTCGGTCAGCAGCAGATGACAGTGGCATTTGTCCAGCCCCGGCTCGATAGGAACAAAGTCTCTCGTAAATCTTTTACCAACCTCTGGAGAAGTTGGTGGAAACCCCAAAGATCTCTTTGCGGTTTTCTCTGTTTTTTTCAGTGTAAATCAAGCTCTGGAATAAAGACTTGGAGAAGCAACTTTAAAGTGGCATTTCTAAATCTGAGGCTTATCGAAGGTCTGGGTGCAAAACGTGTGATTTTTATAAGGCCGTGTTTTTGTTTCATTTTAATCAGTATCAAATCGATCTACATTTCGAAAGAGTTTAAAGTGGAATTTTTTAAAAATGAGTTTCACGACCTTGTGGGTTTGTGTTGGATGATCTGGGTATCCTAATTCAGATGATGAGACTCGGTGTTAGATCATCTACTACTGTAGGTTTTCCTGACACAGAAATCCCCTACATACTGCAACATATTTATGCTTGTTTTAAAGTGTTGTAAGCTTTTCTTTAAACGCTAAAATGCCTGAATACAGTAGCTATTTAATTTAGTGATGATAGATACATAACTTTTAATTATGCTGTTAAGCTGAGATGACACTCTGCTACATTGTTTATGAGTGGGTTTGACTTAAAAAAATTTTAAACTGCTCTTAGATCTGTTTATATAAAATAATCCATTTCCCATTTTTTATTGTGAAATAGTTCTTTTCTATTTCTTGAAGATTTATTATGCATACAAGAACTGGGGTACAGGCCAGAGGTGTGGGGGGTCAGAAGATTCACCAGAGACAGAGTGGGGAACAAAACAGGCTGACTGACTGAAAATACGCTGCTGAGAGGATCAGCAGGGGAGACAGGAGAGGTCTGCTGCGCCATAGGGTCACCTCCCTGGCTGGGGCTCAAACTGGTGCTGCAGTGGCTGTGGATAGCTTCATAGTGCTGACGCTTAAACCCCTGCGTGCCAGAGAGGACCCCTTTTGTAATTTTTTTTTAATGTTTATAGAGATAATATTGATTGCAATACCACATATGGTTCAGGGGTATAGGTTCACACTTCTGCAAATGAAATGTGAAATATTGATAGTTAAAACACAAAAAAAACTTGTGTACTCACTCCCAATTTAAAGAAATACTAACATTTTGCCAGGTTTGCATCAGAATTTTTTAAAAATAAGAATTATAAAAATAGTTCAAACTTCCCATTCTTTCCCCAGTAACTACTGCCCTTACTTGGTGTTTAGTTGAGCAAATAATGTTTTATACTTTACTACTTAGGTTTGTGTGTGTATTTTGTGTATATATATTGTGTCTACATTTACATGTACATGTGTATAAAATAAATATTTTCAATTAAATAGATATCTTCAAAGTGTATGTATCACTTTGCAATATGTTTTCCCACTGTCATTGGAGGTTTACCTTGTTCCTACTTGTAGCTGTAGTTAATTTTAATTGCAATAGGAAATTCCGGTATATGAAAGTGACTATTTGTTCCATTGTAGATATTAGTTGTTACATATTTAAAGCTGCTGTGATAAACATTCTGTGCCTTTCTCCTTGTGCACATTTCCAAGAGGATGATATCTAATGCATTACTCAGAGTGGAAATCACTTCATAGCAGCATATGCTTATTTTGAAGTACTGTTATTAAATTGCTCGCCCAAGTGGTTGTATACCACTTTTTACGTTTTCACTAGCAAGGTATTGTCTCTCTCCATTTCTTTGACACTCAGTGTTGCTATTTCTTAATTGTGTATTTGTAGTCTAATGGATGTTAAGTGATTTTTTAAAAGACTTATTTATTTATGCATACAAGAGCTGGGGTGTAGGCTAGAGGTGTGGGGATAGGGGTGAGAGAATTCTCCAGAGATAGAGTGGAAAGCAGAACAGGCAGATCTACTAAAATAAACTGCTGAGGGAAGCATAAAGTTTTGTTCCATTTTTTATGATGTGATATAATATGAAGGAAAAAAAATCACCCATGAATTAATTTTTTTAATAAGATTTATTTATGCATACAAGAACTGGGGTACAGGCCTGAGATGTGGGGGGGTGAAAGGATTCACCAGAGACAGTGGGGAACAGAACAGACGGATTGACTGAAATACATTGCTGTGGGGAGCAGCGGGCAAGTAAGGAGAGGTCTGCTGCACCATGTGGGTAGCTCCCTGGCCGGGGATCAAACTCATGCTGCAGTGGCTATGGATTGCTTCATAGATTGTGTCATAATGCCTTGCGCCACCAGAGAGGCCCCATGAGGAGTTGTTCTTGTCAAATTGTTAACCTGGGCCACCTTGGTGGCGCAAGGGGTTAAGCATAGCACTGGGAAGCTGTCCTCAGCCTCCGCAGCAGGAGTTCTATCCCTGGCTGGCCAGGGAGCTACCCACATGGTGCAGCAGACCTCTCCTGACTCTCCCGCTGCTCCCCTCAGCAGTATACTTCAGTTTGTCTGTCTGTCTGTTCTGTTCCCCACTCTGTCTCTGGTGAATCCTTTCAGCTCCCACACCTCTGGCCTGTACCCCAGTTCTTGTGTACATGCATAAATAAATCTTTAAAAAAATGTTAACCTGATTCTAATCAAGCCTTTAGTTGCAATCTTAAATTTAACTGAAAGCACAGAGAATATAGATACAAGTGAAACATTTTATAATACAAACCCACAATGAGGGCCATTCTAGAAGAAAACTGATTGGACTCTCCAAAAATTCAGGGACATTTTAAAAATATGATTGGGCTAGTTTCAAAGAGAAGACAAACAACCAACTACAATGTGCAAACTTTAATTGAATTTTTGTTTTTAAAAAAAAAACTTGGGCCTCCCTGGTGGCACAGACAGTTGAACACCGCACTGTGAAGCTGTCCACAGCCCCTGCAGCACGGGTTCAATCCCTGCTGGCTGGCGAGAATCCCACATGGCGAAGCAGACCTCTCCTGTGTTGCCCGCTGCTCCCCTCAGCAGTGTATTTTGTCACTCTACCTGTTCTGTTCCCCACTCTGTCTCTGGTGAATCCTCCCACCCTCCCGTGCATCTGGCCTGTACCCCGGTTCTTGTATAAATAGATAAATCTTTAAAAAAAAATTAAACGACATTTTGATTTTCATAAATCAAAGGCAAATAGCCTAATTTAAAAAAAAGATTTATTTATGCATACAAGAACGAGGGTACAGGCCAGAGGTGTGGGGGGGTGAGAGGATTCACCAGAGACAGAGTGGGGAACAGAACAGGCGGATTGACTGAAATATACTCCTGAGGGGAGCAGTGGGCCAGATAGGAGAGGTCTGCTGTGCCATGTGGGTAGCTCCCTGACCAGGGACCGAACTCATGCTGCATTGGCTGCAGATTGCGTCTTAGGTTGAGTCTTAACCTCTTGTGCCACCAAGGAGGCCCCCTAATTTTTTTAATAGGCAAAGTATCTAAAATTGGTCAATAAGCGCATGAAAACATATTTAATATCATTAGCCATCAGGGAAATACAAATCAAAAATAACAAATATTGGCAAAATGTAGAGAAATTAGGAAAACTTTACCCCCACCTCCCACCCCGTTGCTGGTTAAATATCATATGAATAGTTTTGGAGAACAGTCTGGCAGTTCAGATCCAGGTTATTTAACATAGTTAAACACAGAGTTAGTGAATGACTTAGCTTATACTACTAGCATATATATATCCATGAGATACAAAAACAAATATCTAAACAAAAAAATTGAAAATAGGTGTTCAAAACCAGCATTAGTCATAACTGGTAAAAAAGTTTAAACAACCCGAATATCCATCAGTTGATGTATAGATAAGTATAACTTGACTAAAAAAGGAACAGAGTACTGATACATTCATGCTACAACATGGGTAACCCTTCTGACTGACTAGTGAAAGAACCAGTCATAAAATACTTACTGTATGATTCCCATTTACAGAAGATCCTAGTTATTTTGTGGATTCTGTATTAATTCACCTACTTGCTAAAATTTATTGATAACCCCAAAATAATACTTGGGGTACTTCCACAATGATTCGCAGGCCATATTACAAAAGGTTAATGATTTCCATATAACAGCAATAAAATGAAATTTAGAAAGCCGCTATATACAATAGCATCAAAAAATCAAATAATGGGGCCTCCCCTGGTGGCGCAGGGAGTTGAGCGCAGCACTGTGAAGCTGTCCATAGCCTCTGCAGCGCTGGTTTGATCCCAGCTGGCCAGCGAGGGTCCCACAGACCTCTCCTGCGCGGCAGACCTCTC